CGCCGGGGAGTAGCCAAACCACCCCGCACTCACGGTCGAGGTCAGGGGTGTACCGCCATGGGCGGGAGGGCGGCGTACGCACGTGGGCCCGACCATTGTCCTTATGTGGGCCGCATGTTGATAGCAGACTGCGCTATGGTTGTTTAACTTACGACGTGCATTGTTCAGCTCCTCGAACCAGGCTCCCGAAGCCGTGACGTCTGTGTCACAACGTGGGCCCCGAGAGGTCGGGACTACTTCCCGGGGGCCCGCTGTTCATCCCGAGTCGTTTGATGGTCTCGGGTCCTGGCTCCCCAGGCGTGAAAACAGCAAACGCATTCGTTGCCGTTGTTTTCTTCTTTCGCCACTTTGGCTCAAGCTGTTTACCGCAAGGGCCAGACGCGTCTCTGCTGCAGGGGTGTCGCGGGCGTCCGAGTCTGGGATGGCATCCAGCGGTTCCTCCGAAGAAGGGGCGAGGCAGCGTCTTGGGGGCGCGGCGAGCAGGGATGACCGCGAGAAGGTGATGTGGAAGGCCACATTCATCGAGGTGGGCGACGACGAACGCCAGGGCTCGCTCAGTCCTCGCCCCTCCAGCGAGCCCTGCACCGAGTCGACCTGCCGCAGCGCGTTCTTCGACGCCGACCGCATGCGCGTAGCTGCCCTGTCGAAGCGTATGGACGAGGCCTGGGCCTCGAGCAGTCGGGAGACGATGAGGAAGCTCCTATCCGCAGACCCGAGTATCGATTCTTTGGGCGAGGCCCATGAACAAGAAGAGGGATGCGATCGCGAAGTCCAGCACGACGGCGAAACGTGCAGCGGCTCCATTGCGATCGACTTGGGCAGCTTGTCGGATGTGAGCAGTTCAGACTCGGCTTCTGCTCGCGACAACAATCCAACGGCCACGCCACGCTGCGTCCTCGCGTCTTCTTCGACGCCGACCGCATGCGCGTTCTTCGACGCCGACCGCATGCGCGCTGCTGCCCTGTCGAAGCACACGGAAGAGGCCTGGGCGACGACCAGCCAGGAGACGATGAGGAACAGCATCGAAAAGCGGCGCCTGTCGGTAGCCGCGGATGCCATCCATAGCCTACCTGAGCAGCTGAGCTTGCCAGAGGGCACGGGGTTCAGCCGCTGGGCAGTGAAAGACGCCAAATGTCAGGTCGTGGAGACTGTGCCAGAGATGTGCTCCGAGACGATATGGGCCTTGAAGAGCACGACTCACGAGAACGTGAAACAGTCCGTCTTCCACGTGGATGACTCTAATGAAGTGCCAGTCACGAGCCACTTGGTCGCTGACGTGCTTCTGAAGGCGAAGGTGGGCACCTCGTCGCAAACGGACGACGCGTCCGTGTACCAGTCCAGCCATTGCGCGGCTGGCGTCATTGACTGCGCGAAGGAAGCGAGCCGTCGCGAGAGGTGGCCGACCAGTCTTGCCGCCAGCGCCGGGGGCGCCCACCGCAATCCTGGGAGCCTAGGCCACCCCGAGATGTGCGTCCGGCCGTGCCTGTACTTCTTGCGGGGCCAGTGCATGAATGGCGACGGCTGCAGATACTGCCACTGTCCGCACCCGGCTCGGCCTGTTCACCTCGGGAGGTCGCACAGGAAGAGCTTGGAGGCGGCGACGACGTCCGAGTGCCTTGACATCTTGCTGCCCATCCTCGAGAGGAAGATGATCGCGCTGCGCTTACCCACAGGCACGCTCCAGTTGCTCGCTGGCCAGCGGTGCGTCGGCTCGGGTGGGGCCCCCGTCGACGCTGGCAGCCGAGTCAAGCCTCGTGGGTTGCGGACTCTCGCGAAGGCTTTTGGGGTCCTGCCCATGCGGTTGTTGTTGGTGGTGCTGCAAAGAAAGGTGGGGGCGCAGACTTCACGCGACAAGATCTTGCTGGACGCGCTGATTCTGGAGGTGCGCGAGGCGGGCTTCCTGGTCGACATTGGGGAAGAGGTCCAGGAGGACGCTTGAGTACGATCGGCTCCTGCTTGTTCTCTTCCTCCTTCTCCCGGCAGCGCTTGTTGAGACCACCCCTGCCGGCCGTGGCACTGGGCGTAGCGCGTAGGCGCAGTGCCAGGCCCGTGGCCCAGCTTTCGTGAGGTAAAAGCTCCCGCAGCGAGGCGTCACGTGCCCCTCATTTTTTCAACCCCGCAGGCCAGTCGAGCTCTTGCTCCTGTCCGTGCCACCCTGTCGCGTCAGTCTGCAGCAGTCTTCAACTCCGCAGGGCTGTCACCAATATGTCTCCGATCCACCCCGCTGCCCCCGTCGGCACCCGCGCGTTTGGCTGAGCTGAGCCTTCCATGCAGGCTTTGACTCAGCGGCCCAGACGCGCGGCTGCCAGGGCTGTGAGTCGGTCGATCGATCAATCAGTTAAACATCCAACCATGGGATATGACAGTGCCGCTAGGATTTTTTTCCAGCGCTGGTATAGTCATGTCTTGCGAATAAGTTTGCCTTGCGCCCAGAGGGGTGCGACTCTTGACCTGCAATGTTGCCTCCGATGTCTCACAGGCCTTTGGGCTGACAGTGTAACATCGAATACCCGACTAGCGGCCTGTGGGCCTTGCTCCCGCGAAGCATGCTCGAGCGATTCAGCCAGCACCTACCGGTACCTCTGTCGGCTCCGAAGCCCCCCTGCCTTTTTTCAGTCGCCAGAGACCGCATTATGTTTTGATTCACATCTTACAGTCGGACCGAGGTATAAGATGGAGGTTGATTTTGGAGGGTGCTCTAGTGTTCTTTGTGTTTGGTGGATGTTATTGTGCATCCTGGGAAGGGTACCCTTGGATGTTCTGTTTATATTGGCCGGCGGAGGGTCCCATGCTCTGGCAGGATATTCTTCTGGCCTGGGTCCGACTGTACGTAGAGAAAGCACACTGTCGTGCATTCAACACGCCGACTTTATATATTCCGGCGCCCGATCCTGCGGCCAGGCCCCCACACCCGCTGTTAGGCCACCTTGGGCACATTTCGGAGCATGCGCTCCGCGCGGCTGTCGCTGACTGCCAAAAGGCAGAGACGAGTGACATCTCAGAGACTGCATTTTGTTATATTGTTGACGCCTCGCGTATCCCCACAGTGTGCTGAATTCCTTAATTCCTTGTAGGGCACGATCCGCGTGAAGGGTGTGCCGAATAATTCGGATACCCTCGCGCGAACGCCCCCAAGAAGGCCACAGGTGGACCTCCTCCAGGCACGACCCGTGCGAGGCATGTTCCGAAATGGGCGGGGGCACGCCATGCGGAGCTGCCATTGGTGCCACAAGTGGAGCTCCTTCTGGGACATGGTTTGCGTGACGGGTCTGCCGACATGGGCGGGGGAGCGCTGTACGAACCTTGTCTTTGGGCCTTTCGGTGGCGCTGTACGAGCCGCAGTGGCCAGGAGAACTTTGCCTTTGGGGCCATAGTGGAGATCCCTGTGGGCCGCGATCCGTGTGCGAGATGTGGCGAAGTAGACAGGAGTGCGGGATGCGAACCTTATATCCAGGGCCGTCCGTGCAACTCCACCGAATGCCCTTGTGGGACCGCCCGCATGCGTCAACCACCACCCACCACAGCCCTTCCTCCCCGCGTTTCACCCACTTAATATTGCGTTTCGTGGCCCCATAGGGAACTCCACCGAAGGTCCCAGTGGGACCGCCCGCATGCGTCAACCACCACCCAGCACAGCCCTTGCTCCCTGCGCTTCACCCACTTAGTATTGCGTTTCGTGGCCCCATAGGGAACTCCACCGAAGGTCCCAGTGGGGCCGCCCGCAGCGTTAACCACCACCCAGCACAGCCCTTGCTCCCTGCGTTTCACCCACCCAGTACAGCGTTTCGTGGTCCCGTCGGGAGGTCCACTGAGGGCCCTCATGTTATCGCTCGCATGCGTCAGCCACCACCCAGCGCAGCGTTTCGTGGCCCCGTAGGGAGCTCCACTGAAGGCCCAGTCGCATGCGTCAGCTACCACCCAGTACAGCGTTTCGTGGCCCTACAGGGAACTCCACCGATGGTCCCAGTGGGGCCGCCCGCATGCGCCAGCCACCATCCAGTACATCGTTTCGTGGGCCCATAGGGAGCTCCACAGAAAGATCCCATTTGCACCTCCCGCGTGCGTCCTCCACCACCCAGTACTCCATTTCGTGGCCCCATTGATTGGTAGCTCCACCAAGCCCCAGTAGCACCACCCACATGCGCCCCCCCCAACCGGTGAAGCGTTTCGTGGCCCCGTAGGGAGCTCCAGTGGTCCGCCCGCATGCGACCTCCCACCCGGTACAGCGTTTCGTGGGCCCAAAGGAAGCTCAACCGAAGGCCCCAGTAGCACCGCCCGCATGCGTCCCCCCCTCCCAGTACAGCGTTTCCCTGAGGTGCGTTGGCGTTTGTTTTAAATGCCGAATTGCTGGCGTTTTTTTTAAAATGCCAGCGGTTATTTTTTAATGCCAGACATAATCGTATCAGTTTTGGTGTTTGTTCATGCGTGATTATGCAACATGTGTTGTGCGCGTGGTCTGGTTTGGTTGGTTTTCTCAATAACAATAAAAAAGCGTGTCAGCGTGTATGCGACTATGACCATACCACCCCTCCTCCATATTCATATTTCCTCCATTCACCTCCGCACCCCCCCCCCTCCCCTCCCCATCCTCGTCCCCCGTCCTCCCCTCCTCCTCCCTCTCCCCCCCCTCCTCCACCCCCGCACGTGCCCGTGGCCCGCTGAGCTGGCGGATGTTGATCCAGTGCACTGCGGCTGTCGTAGGAGAGGGGCGGAGGAGGAGGAGGAGGATGATAAGGAGGAAGAGGAGGAGGAGGAGGAGGAGGAGGAGGAGGAGCTTAGGGGGAGAGGGCAAGGACGAAGGCGGGACGAAGAGGAACAGAGGGATAGAGAGAGAGGGAGAGCTATAGATAGAGCGAGAGAGAGAGAGAGACGGGGACCTCGGATGAGAAGGATGGGGATGATATGTAAGAGAGGAGGATGAGGGAAGGCGAGGAGGAGGAAGCTGAGAGGCGGGAAGCACGGGCGACGTGGGATGCGACGGAAGGTTACGACATATAGCCATGTCTGGGATCGAGTGGTGCAACGTGCCGAAGTCCCCACTGAGGACCACGAGGCTAGGCCGCGCCTTCGGGATGGCCTCGGCTGCAGCTGTTGCACCGCCGACTGCCGTCGACAGCGAGGTGATCGCGATCGAGACCGCGCCCGTGATGTCGCCAGATCGGTTCGGTCGCCTGCCTGAAGTCGGAGAACCAGGCTTCGACTCCCAGATGGGCGGTGAAGCTGCTGTGGAGCCCGCGTTCGCGGACACCGAGGTCGAGGACGATGAATCTGACGAGGGGCCCTTGATCCGTGGTCGTGCCGCCCTCTCGCACACGAACGTCGTGGCAGGTGTCAAGCAGCAGGCCATCGAGGCAGTCGACGAGATGGTCAAGCAGATCCAGGAGCTCTCCAGCACCATGGACGAGGGCACGTTGGCGCAGCACCTCAAGAAGCTCTTCAAGAGCGACGCTCAGCAGGTGCTGATGGCCGCGAAGCGTGGCGGGACGGCTCCAGAGACCGACAAGACGACGATCGAGGTCGGCTCCGACGCGTCGCCTGCGGTGCAGGCGAAGGCGGCCATGTGGGCCGAGGTGCAGGCCCGAGGTCTTCGACAATGAACCCCACACACCAGGAGGAGGAGGAGGAGGAGGAGGAGGAGGAGGAGGTGGAGGAGGAGGAGGAGGAGGAGGAGGAGGAGAAGGAGGAGGAGGAGAAGGAGGAGGAGGAGGAGGACTACGGCATGAGGAAGTGGAGGCGGAGGATGAGGATGAGGAGGAGGAGGAGGAGGAGGAGGAGGAGGGATATGACCAGGAAGAGGAGGATGAGGAGGAAGAGGAGGAGGGGGAAGAGGAGGGAGGACTGAGGACGATGGAACTGACGAGGCACGATCGATATTTCAGCATGTAAGTCACTTACAGCATCGTTGCAAGGTCAATGCAAGGTCAACGCAATGTCAATGCAATGTCAATGCCTAAGCCAATGCAAGGTCAATGCAATAACACTGTAAGTTCGTTGCGATGTTGATGCTGTCACGCGCGTCGCCCCAGGCCCAGGGCTTCAACTTCAGCACCAAGGGCACGGCTGGCAACAAGATCGCGGGCGTGTGGCAGCGGCACCTCGATGGCAACGTCGACAACGTGAAGACCGAGTACGGCAAATGCAAGGGGAGGGATGCCCAGCGGGCCTTCCGCAAGCAGTGGGCGGAGGGGAAGTTCAACGCCTTCAAGTCGGAGTTCGTCAAGACGGAGAAGATCGACCACGAGTGGGCCAAGAAGTCCAAGATGGTGAGCCTCTCCAGGATGGCGTGGAAGTATGGCGGCGGCAAGGAGGGCTGGAGGTCTGCCAGCTGCCACGCTGGCAAGTGCATCCAGCTCGGGGCGCCGTTCGTGGAGTACGAGGAGTCCAGCGAGACGCTCCTCTACGCGTACATCGAGCGCAGCTTCAACGAGCGCTTCACGCAGACGTGGGCGAATCACCAGAGCTGGCTGCAGGCCTGGCCGGGCGTAGGTGTCTAAAAATAAATAGGTTTACGACGGTGGGAAGGAGGGACGGGTGGGAAATGAGGTGAGGAGAAGGTGGAGGTATCAACTGTGGTGGGGAATGAGAGCCTATCCCCAAACCCCTAGTCTCACCTCCTCCTCATCGGAGGAGGGGGAGGAGGAGGAGGAGGAGGAGGAGGAGGAGGAGGAGGGAGAGGAGGAGAGGAGGGGGGAGGAGAGGAGGGGGTGGAGGAGGAGGAGGAGGAGGAGGAGGAGGAGAAGGAGGAGGAGGAGGAGGAGGAATGGGTCCATGCCCGAAGGCTGCCGACCCCGCGAGCGGCACGGGCGCGGCCTCCGCCGCTGGCGTCGTGGAGGCCGGCCCACGATCACGACGGCGATCGTGGCGATGACGACGACGGCGATGGCGAGAGATAACGAAGATGCCGACGACGAGACGGGATGGGATGAGGCCATGAGGACCGCAACGACAACACCGAAGACGGCGAAGACGGCGGCGACGACGACGTCGAGTTGGAAGGATGACGAGAAGGAGGATGAGAAGGAGGATGAGGAGGAAGACGAGCAGGAGGACGATGAGGAGGAACAGATGAGGGGTGAAGAAGCATGAGGAGAAGGACGACGACGACGAAGACGGCGAGGAGGAGGAGGAGGAGGAGGAGGATAAGGAGGAAGAGAAGGGATGAGGATGAAGAGCTAGCGGAGGATGGTACGGACACTCCCTGCCGCCGAGAGGCCGCGGCGGTGCAGCAGGCAGCTGCTGGGCCCCAGCCGCCGCGCGAGGCTGGCGCCCGCCAGGTGGGGGCAGGGGTGGGCGGGCACGCGGGGGCCACGCGGCTGGCATCGTCGTCGTCATCGTCGTGTTCGTCGTCGGCGGCGATCGAGTTGCATTGACATTGCATTGACCTCGCATTGACCTTGCATTGACCTTGTGCTGACCGTGCATTGACATTGCATTGACCTTGCATTGACCTTGCATTGACCTTGCATTGACCTTACATTGACCTTGCATTGACCTTGCATTGGCCGTGCGTTGACCTTGCATTGTCAACATGTAGGCGTTACAGTTACATTACATCGGCACTGCATTGACGTTGCATTTGCATTGCATTGGCATCGCATTGACCTTGCATTGACAGTGCGGTGGAATTGCATTGGCCTTGTCGTGGTCATCATCGTCAATGTCGGCATCGCGATCACGCACCGCGCAGCATTCTCAGAAGCACCAGTACCACCATCACCGCCACCACTCCCATCGTCATCGACACCATCATGTAGCCACCAGCATGGTCGCCCCACGGTCACCATCACCGAGACCATCGTCATCGCAACCATCATCTTCATGGTCATCATCATCAGCATCATCATCATCATCGTCATCACCATCACCATCACCATCATCATCATCATCATCATCATCACCATACCACCAACATCAGCATCACCATCATGATCCATCACCCCGTCATCCGCAGCCTTTTTGGCAAGAGATGGGGTGGCACGGTTTCGGTATCCGCCATGGTTGGCAAGAAACCCGCGTGCGTTGAGCGCGGCCGTCCTCATGGCTCATCGACCACAGACATCGATCCGAAAGTTGAGCGGCTCATATATCTGGTTCTGGTCAGGGAGGTGACTGACCCTACGTCCATCAGCGAATATGGGCCCGAGCAGTGTGAGAACACGTTGGTGAGCTACAAGACTTTGTTGACCCAGCTGCGGAGCATCTCGCCGACCATCCCTGCCAAAAGCGTGCTGCGCCGCCTCTTCAACAACTTGGCGGAGGAGAAAGAAGGGACATGGAGATTGGCAGACGAGCAAGACTCATGGGCGACTGCCCAATGTGAGTCAGTACACCTTATGTTGCGACACCTTGCGAATGCAGTTCGGAAGTCACCAACGCCCAAGTGGGCCAGGCAGTTCGTGGCGGTGGACAACGCGGGTTCTGACGCAGCTTCGGATCAGCCGTGTGAAGAGGATGATGATGACGACGACTGTGGACCTGAAGGAGAGGGCGAGGAGGAAGCACCCGCCTCGCCCGATGATTTGGTCGAGGACCAGGAGGCGCAGACTCTACCGTATACGACCGCCTCGGCCGCAGCAGCTGTGCACGCAGCCGACGTGAAGGCCAGGCCATCTGCATGTGAACAGCCCCTGATCGAGCTTCCCGATGGCGATACTGAAGTGGCTGGAGGTTGGAAGATATGCTGGAACCCTGAGATGAAGGCATCGAGGATTCCAAACAAATGCGAACGTGCACCGAACGGTCGAACGACCGATCACATCGATGACGCCTACCATCGGATCGGTACGATCGGTCGGAAGGTCAATCAACCGACCGACCTTGCGACCGATCGTACTGATGCGATGGTAGGCGCCATCTTGGTGTCCGCCGCATTTGTTTGCAGCCCGCCAGGCTGCAGTGAGAACGAGCACGACCAGACCGACGCAGCCAGGGGAGTTCGCCTCGACCAAGACGGTGGACGGCGTCAAGATTGTGTCGTGGCCCGACGGGATGAAGTTCAAGCTCCCCGAGTCGTTGTGCGAGTCCTCGGCGCAGAAGAGGTACGAGCCCCCGCTCTGGGGGGGCACGCTGGACGGTGCCAAGCTGGAGCTCAAATGGACGAGGAAGAAGTCGGACACGTGGCTCACCCTCTGGTCGACGAAAGACAAGAAGTTGTCCCAGATCGTCGCCATCTCCTCCTACAGCGACCCAGACGCGGCCGTCGCGGCGATGAAGACCCTCGGCCAGATGTACATCGACGGCTCCGACAAGCCCGCGCTGGAGGCCGAGAAGGTCCGCATGGGGTACGGCAGGGGCGGGCACAACAAGAAGGCCGCAGTGGTCGCCAAGAGGCCTGCATCCGCAAGTGAGGAGGGCGCGCCTGTCAGGAAGAGGCCGAGCGCGGCGCCAGCTCCAAGCTCCCAGCTCGCGGAGCTGGTGGAGGCGCCTGTGGGAGGTGCTGCCAGCACCCAGGCCGCAGCGCCAGCAGGAGGTGCTCCCAGCACCCAGGCCGCGGCTGCGACGCCCGCGGCCGCCCCTCCTCTGCCAGCCATCCCTCTTGGGCTGCTCGACGCCCTTTAGGCTGAGCAGATGGCGGAGTAAACGCGATATCATCTATCCCATCGCTATCCCCCCAGCCTCCCGATCCTCGTTCTCTCAATCCCCTCCTCCTCCTTCTCCTCCTCCTCCTCCTCCTCCTCATCCTCCCCCTCACCCCCCCTCCTCCTCATCATCATCACCCTCCGCATCCTCCCCCTCATCCCCCTCCTCACCTTCCCATCCACCCTCATCACCATAACTCCCTATCCATCCCCATCCCTCCCAACCTCATACTCGCATTTGCCCGCCCCATCCTTCCCATCGTCCTCCAGATCATTGTGCTCTCCCTCCTCCCCTCACCCATCCGCCTCCTCCGTCGGCGAACCAACAGACCTCCGCCTCATATCCCCCGTCATCCCCCATCCGCCGTGTTCGCCTCCTCCAGCTCATTGTCATATCCCTCATCCTCCCCCTCCGCCTCCTCCTTCGGCGAGCCAGCGGAACTCCTCCGCCTCCTCCCCCTCCCCTCGTGCGGCGGGGGGCTGGCGACGACGATGCCGACGACGACGATGGACGACGATGACGACAGTCAACGGCCGACGACATCGACGAGAAACGACGATGACGGCGATGCCGAACAACGACAACGACCGTGGGGGGTTCCGACGATGACGGCACCGACGACGCCGACGTTACCGATGGCGGAGGCATTGGCGGCATCGACGACGACCGACGACGACAGTGACGATGATGCGGTGTGGGAACCACGGACTGGTGATGGCCGCGACGACGACGACGACGACGACGGCGACGACGACGACTCCGACGACGATCGGCGACTGCAGCAACGACGACGATGGCGACGACGACAACAACACTGGGGACAACGACAACGACGACGACGATGGTGACGACGACTGACGATGCAAAACGATGTTGGCGGCGATGGCCAGCGACAACGACGACAGCATGCAGCGAAGATCAGAAGGGTCGCTGGTAGGGGAGGTGGTCGCTGCAGCAGCTGCAGCGGGCGGCATCGGCGACGACGTGGCCGACAAGGACGGGCCGCTCGCGCCCGACATGGGGAGGGACTGTGAGGTGGGTCAGATCCAGGTCCCAGGTCCTAGGTCCCATGCACCCCTCCTCATCCACCTCCTCCTCCTCTTCCTCCTCCTCCTCCTCCTCCTCATCAGCATCATCATCATCATCATCATCCTCCTCGGCCTCCTCCTCCTCCTCTTCCTCCTCCTCCCTTTCTCCTCTGTGATCGTCCTTGCACCAGGACAGTCTGCTCCACCCCCAAGTCCATACCCCCCCTGGACGGGGGGGTAGGAGGACGAGGAGGAGGAGGATGATGAGGATGATGAGGATGATGATGATGATGATGATGATAAAGAGGATGAGGAGGAGGAGGATGAGGCGGAGGACGAGTACAAGGTGGATGGTGATGCTGATGATGATGATGATGATGATGAGGAGGAGGAGGAGGAGGAGGAAGATGAGTAGCATGGTGAGCATGATGAGGATGAGGAACATGCACGCGTACACGGACACGGGCGCGCATATTGATGAGGGTGGTTCTTTTTCAAATGATATGTAAACCAATACCAGTGACCTGTCATCGACCATTGACCTACCATTGACCTGCCATTGACCTCCCATTGACCTGGCATTGACCTGCCATTGACCTGCCATTGACCTACCATTGACCTACCATTGACCTACCATTGACCTACCATTGACCTTCCATTGACCTTCCATTGACCTATCGTGAACCGTTGACCCTTACTGCCCTTGACCATTGACCATTGACCATTCATTGACCTAGCATCTGTGAGGAGACCGAGCCCCCGACCCCCATGTGCGCGGGGAAGCGCGGCCGGGTGACGGACGACGCTGCCGTGGACAAGAGGCGGAAGGTCGTGCCCAAGGCGAACGCCAAGCAGAAGGGCCGCGCGGGCAAGGACCGCACGAGCGC